GGAAGACTTGCACCCAACTCTGACTCCCGTGTCTTCCTCGCCCCCCTTTCCCCTTTTTCTCTTTCTCCCCTTTTTAGGAATCTCCACTCGCCGACGCCTTCCCACCTTAGGGTCCTGCCTGTCTTGCCTCCAGACACCTCAATAGTTGGAGCTGGTCTCCAACAGGGAACTTGTTGGTCAGCACAGATCCCTGAGACTTCTGCTCTGAGATTGCCCAGAGCCAAACTTCCCAGGGCCTCCAGGTGACCCATGTCCATGTCACTCACCACTCATCCAATAGTCACCAGACTGACCAAGAGTAGACATCAGGCTGCTTGGAGCCAAGCTGGCAGGCTGAGACAGGACCTTGGAGAGCACAGCTCTGTGTTGGAGCCACTTTCCTCTGGCCTCCACCCCTCTTATCCAGAAATACTCAAGATCCTGGCTTCATCTTAGTTCTAGAAACTTCTAAATCTTAGAAATTATGCAGGATAGTTCCAACCACCCTGTGGGATAGGAAGGTGCTCTTCCCATGGCATGTGATGGTTGCCAGCTACTTCATTAGTCACAAGCTCAAGAATGAGTTTCCTACAGGAATTTCCATTCTGGGTGGATGTCAAGGCCACAGTAGCCTCTCCTCTTCTCCCTGTGATACAACCGTTCACCTACTACCCCTGTCAAGCTGGGCAGAGCTATGACATGCCCTTGCCTTTACCTTGGATGGCATACAGTCTCGTCCCCCATCAGGAAATCAAAGGAATCTGTGACTTCAGCTCCTGCCCAGAATGAACCCAGTTGCTATGGAAACCTGGTGCATTTCTCTGTTGTAGGGTGGATGGCTTTCATTTTGTATTTGAAGAGTTGGGCCAGGCAGTCATGTTACCTTGGCCTGGCCTGGCCTGTTGGCAGTGGTTAGGAACAAAGGGAGCTCCCTGAACTGCCATTTGGTTTCTCTAATTGAGGGGGCAGAAACCCCAGATCAGCTGTCTTGGGAGGATGGTGAAGCTGCTGGGTGCCATGCTGGGCATTCTCTCTTGTTCATAGATTGTACCTAGAGGTAGAGCCTCATGGGCTGAGGTCCCATCCTTGGCATGTTTCTCCTTCTACTTCTTCCTGAAGCTCATCATGGGGCCATGCCCAGAGCTGCTCTGTGTAATCCCAAGTCCCCAGGATCCTGGCAGACGGGGCCTTTATCACACAAAACAATTTTTTTTTGTATAGTTGACTCCTGAGCAACACGGCTTTAAACTGTATGGACCCACTTACATGTGGATTTTCTTGTAAACAAATGACATAAACTCACAGTGTTAATAAATGAAACACAGTACTGAAAACATATTTGATGTGATATTCTTAAAATGTTTTCTCTACTTTATTGTAAAGCTCAAGATTCAGGGAAGGGAGAAAGGGAAACTGAGGCTCATTAAGGTGGCTGCCTTCCCTCCCTATGCATTTTTGCAACTGTTTTTGCCAATCAGCAGCCCATTGTATCACAAGAGAAATATCACAGGCAGACCCTAAAAACAAGGTAGTAACCAGGAGACCATTCTCCATATGACATGACTTGACAGATTTGTCTTAAAATGTGTGTCAGATTCCCATAGTGGGTTTACTTTCCCCTCGGAATTCCTCAGGTATGGAAGCTGTGGCTTTTCCTTTTGGGATGTAGGTTATGAGAAGATGGCAAACCATAGGGGAGCAAGGAGGAGGGAAGGGCAGGATGCTTGTTGACGGGACAGTGGAGGATGCATTTGGCCCAGACCATGAGGCGAGAGAGACAGAGTCAAGGGACCCCTCAGTCCCTAATCTCCCTGTGAGTGGGGATAAAGTGGAGTGGGGGCAGGGGAGATGGGGAAGTCTTAGTTCAGTCTTTGACTAACACCCAAAATCCATGCCAACCAGAACTCCCTGTTACCTTGCTGTGCTGAGAGTGTTTTCCTAAGCTAAGTAGAACTCTATCCAACATTAATTTCTTTCTAATTTAGCCTAACTTCTGCATGACCATGGATCCTTCCACGGACTTCTGGGGTGATTTCCTGGCCAGAATGTACTGATATTATGCCCTCTCCAGAGTGCTAATTCATGCTAGGTCCCCGAACCCGGCCCTGCTAAAGGACGGCCTGTAGTCTTAACACAGCTGAACTGTTACAGGGCAACCCCAGTGTGAATTGGGTTGCTTAACTGTAGGTCCTCACCCATGTGCTAAAGGCACTTACAAAGATTTAACTGCAGACACGCACAAAAAGGTTAATAATGGGTTTATTTACAAGGGAAAGTGAAAATGAATAACTCAGGGGAAAAGAGAGAGAGAGAGAAGCTTTTTAATGCGTCCTACCATTTTTGCTTACCTGGTACCCCAATAGCACACTGAAAACTGGTGAAAAACAAGAGCTCAACCACAAGACATGAGGCCAAGAGACCCCCAAAGGCCACATGTCCAGTTTTATTAGTCATGGCTGCTTAACCCTTCCCTCTGGTCCTAGACATCCTCCTTTTGGTAATGGGATTTGTAGTTCTGGTGTCTGGGGTGGGGTGGAGTTCACAAAACCTCTACCTGCAGAGTTCGTTTGGGACATCCTTTCCCCTAACATAACCTCCTTGAGAACAAAGTTTGTGTCTTCCTTGTGTGTGAACCCCAAGACTGAGCCTGGGCTGGGCACACAGCAGAAGCTTTTTCAGCTGCTTGGCCTTGGCCCATCCTTGCAGTTCGGCAGCCGGGAACCTCAGCTTGCAGAGGTTAAGGCGGGTAGGGACATCACCAAGTCCAAGCTTCATGCTATGGGAGACTAAGACCCCTCCATTAATGCTGAAAATGAGAGTAACTGCTTCTTACTGTTGACTGTATGTTGGACAGGATTCTCTGCACTCCGCTACGCTAATCCAGACCATTGCACCAAGACACCTGTGCAGCAGGAATTACCTCAGCCCCACATGAGGGAACAGAGGGACAGAGAGGTTCAGTTACAGAGCTAGGTGGTGTTAGGGGCAAGAGCCGGCCATAGAAATGGGGCTCCAGGGCTCACCCCATCAGTACCACTCAGTTGCGCTGTCTGAGCCAGAGCACCACCCATCACACCATGGGTCCCTTCTCTGAATGAGCAGGAACCTGGGCCTGTGAGTTCACTCACATAGGAAACAATCTCATGTGCCCTCTAGGACTTAGTTCAGAGCCTGGCATGGGTCAGAGACCTGTTTCTAATACAAATAAGCTGTTCCTCCTCCTCATGAGCCAACCCGACTGGGTGTGCCGTCAAACAGGAAGAGGCCTGGGGAAGCAATCAGCTGTTTGCAGGAAATGGAGGCCTGGAGGGTGGTGTGTCTTAGCCAGGTTCTGAACTGCATGGCAGAGCTTGGGCCACACTAGCAAGCCCTCGGAAGAGGCCCTCCCCTGGTTCAGCCTAGCCACCCTCACGAGGTGAGGGTTCCATTCTGGCCACACTAACGGGCTCTCTGTCCCTGCCAGCTCTTCGTGATTGACAATGGTGCGGACGACTGGCGGATAGCCATGACCTACGAACGCATCCTCTACATCAGCCTGGAGATGCTGGTGTGCGCCATCCACCCCATCCCCGGCGAATACAAGTTCTTCTGGACGGCGCGCCTGGCCTTTTCCTACACGCCCTCGCGGGCGGAGGCTGACGTGGACATCATCTTGTCCATCCCCATGTTCTTGCGCCTGTACCTGATCGCCCGCGTCATGCTGCTTCACAGCAAGCTCTTCACCGATGCCTCGTCCCGCAGCATTGGGGCCCTCAACAAGATCAACTTCAATACCCGCTTCGTCATGAAGACCCTCATGACCATCTGCCCGGGCACCGTGCTGCTGGTGTTCAGCATCTCGCTCTGGATCATCGCTGCCTGGACGGTCCGCGTTTGTGAAAGGTATTCCTGCGCTGGGGGTGGGGGTGGGGAGTGAGGATCAGCGGTGGTGACCTGTATAGAGAAGGTCTGCTAGAGGAGTCAGGTGTGTCTCCAAACACCTCAGAGGAGGAAACGGGAAAGGGGAGGGCGGAGCAGGATGAATAGGGGCTGCAGTCATGAAACACTGGAGCCAAGGTAAGCTGGGAAGAACACTTTCATGGTATTCCCCCGTTTTCTGCTCTTTCAGTAAGCCAATGTATCAGGCGTCTGTTAACCTTTTCGCCTGTAGAACATTTTGCACTTTCTGTATTTTCCCTTCCTCTTGGAGAGGAAGGATGCTCACCAGCATTTTGAAGGCTCTGCGAAGACCTGCAGTAATGAAACTGAATTTTGTTTAGTCCAGATTTTCTCAAAAGTGTTTGTCCACCAGCCCGTTTCATCATACGGCATTATCGTTGCTTGGACACTGTCTAGTTTGGTCCACAGACCAGCAACATCAGCGTCACTGGGAACTTGCTCAGGCCTCGCCTTGGAACTACTGAATAGGATTTGCATTTGCTAGTGTCACCCGGTGGTTTGTATGCCCCTTAATGCACTAGACTCATGCAGCACCCTTTGGTGTCTGGTGGCTCAGAAGTGGCTGGTGGGAGAAAAGGGGGGCATGGTCCAGTAAACTTGGGGTTCTAACACTTGATGCCAGCCTTTCCCATCTGTCATCAGCTCCGCTCATGGTTGAGACTGTTGTCACTGCCTTCCTCTGACATACTCAACTGCCCCTGGTGATTCTTCCTCTCTTCAAGCTAGTCCTTTTTCATTTTAATCTAATTCCACATGTTAGAGTCGGAATACTTTGGTTGGAAACTGGGGTTCTGTCCCTAAGTATCTGTGAGACCTTGGGAAGATACTTAATCTCTCTGGGCTTCAGTGTCCTCTCGTTTTTGCATCAAAGAATGGAGTGCAGGCCAGAGGTGTGGGAGGAGAGAGGATTCTCCAGAGACAGGGTGGGGAATAGAACTTGCAGACTGACTATAGTACACTGCTGAGGGGAGACAGGAGAGGTCTGCTATGCCATATGCGGGTCAGCTCCCTGGCCAGGATCGAACTCTGGCCGTAGCAGTGATAGTACTGACACTTAACTCCTAGCCCTGTCTTCTCATTTTAAAATGAGGATCTCTGGGGAGAGAGTGAAGATCTACTTATTTGAGACAGATTATTTTTGCAATAAATAATTACAGTTATTTTTATAGTTTATTTTATGTGGAGGGACCCAGTCAAGCATCCAGTGTGAATGACACGGACCCAGCAGACACCATTCACTCATCAGCGCCATCATTTTGCAGGATCTCCCAAGCCCCACTGTCCCAATCGAGGGAACGCTAGAAAACAAGTCTGCAGAGGGGTTAACTTAAGAACATCTCACATGGCTACGTCTGACCAGATTTCCTACCTATTTTGAGACATTCTATTTGCAGACATTTCTTTGTGGTATTTGGCCAGCAGGTACACAGTCCAACGAAGAGCATTCTGCTGTAGCAGCCAGGCCTTAAGGATGGCTGGCCTCTATCTGAGGCCTCATGCAGTGCTGGGAGATGCTGCTTGACCACAAAGCCCCAGGGACACACCACATGCACCTGCTTAGACCCCGCCATCACTCAGCCTCTGGCATGAAACACCTGCTCCAGCAGGACCCCATGCCATGCTGCTTCCAGAAGTTCTCTGTTCACTGACATTATCTACAGTGGATGTAACATATACTTGAGTCCCAACACCGAACTCCTCACAGTTTTCATAGCTGAGCAATGTCATATAGGTCACATAATCTCTCTGGGCCTCATTTTCCCCCCTCTGTGAGCTGAAGATAACAATATCTGCTTTTACAGGATTTGTTGTTAAAGTCAACAGATAGTGTGTGTGGACTGTACACAGCCATACAGTCAGAGTGAGAATTAATAATAGTCACAGAAATCCCTTCATCTCTTGTGAACTTTATGGCTGCCTTCTTATCATTAGTATAAACCAGCTTCTACCATAGGTAGACCTAAGTTTTCCCTGTTTCCTTTCTAATTGCTTGAAGCAAAGGCTCCTAAGACAGGAATAATAGAATTTGCATAACACTTTAAGGTATTTGAAATCTTCCATGTCCTTAAATCAACCCTGTTTGGACATGGCTTGTCACCCCATTTTTCAGATGAGCGAATGGACTGAATATGGAACAAATAACTGCAAGTGAGTTTCATTGTTTATTAAATCTTTCACAAGTATGAGTAACTATTTTTTTTAGTGGAAAGTAAGCCTGCTTTACGGCACACAGCTTGCAAAGTACTCTGTTGCTCTTACTGTCCATTGAGTGGCGCACCAAGGCTGGGCCACCCTGGGCCCGGCGGAGCACCAGACCACCCTCTGCAGAAATGACCTTCTGGCCCTGCAGGAGTCCAAGGCAAAGGCGCAGAGAAGCAGTGAGCAAACAGTTCTAGAGTTTCCCCCCCTCCCAGAAGCCCTGCTCAGATCTGGCACGAGGGGTAGTAAGCACAGGGGATGTCATCATTGCCCCTGTCCTTGGGGGCTGGCCCGGTGCCAGTGCTATGGGAAAGGCTTCAGAGGTGTCATCTGTCTTAGACCTATGAGAGGCACCCCAGCTCTGCCCATTTACAGGTGTGGAAACTGATGAAAGGTAGCAATCCTGGGGCCACAGCTAGTAAATGTGAAGCCAGAATTTGAAATGGATTCTGACTCTAAACTTCATGTTTGTCTCCCCATGTCTGTCTGAATCCCACACTGACAAAGAGACCATGGCCTGGACTCTCCCGGTGGCTTTCCTGATCTGAGTGTCCCAGAGCCACAGAGACTGACGCATGCTCTTCTGCCTGCCTGCCCGGGCTGTGCTCATCTGCAGTTTATCGGCCTCTCTTCAGGCAGGACTGACTTCATGTAATGCAGATATACCTGCGTGTAGGTGGTGCCAGGTGTGCCGTCCTGATATGCCCCCAGCCTCAGCCCAGGCTCTCTTTCTCTCAGCTGGGCTGGGCCCCTCACCTAGAATGGCACTGGCTGAAAGGAGTGGCCTCAGCACAGGTCAAGCCCAGTGCCCTGTCTGGGGGCAGCAGGGATCAGATGACTTGTCTGTGCAGGCGTTTAAAGGCCCAGCAGGGCAGCTCTCACTGGGACTCCAGGTACCCCGGCTCCTAGGGCTTTGCAGGAGGCCCTCATGTGATTTTGTGATGCTTTCTGCTTTTGCCCAGCCTACTTCCCTGGATCTCACAGAAGCTGAGCCTGAGAGCAGCCCAGAAAGCGCTCAAATCTCAGCATCTCAGAGACTCCCGGGAACCTGATCTACAGAACTGACAATATTTGTGAACAAGTAGGTTTTTTTTCCAATCAGGCAAAGAACTGCTCTTCACAAGACAAGGCGATTTCTTAGGGAATCAAGCTTGAATCATAATTGTCCTTTCCCAATGTCAAGTAAGTAAGATTGGCAGAGACACAATTATTTACCGAGAGGTTAGACGATACTGCTTTGGGGACCGAGGTGTCAGACCCAGCTGGGAAGGTGCTGCGGGCAAGTTGACCTTGATTTCTCCCAGTCTGCTAAGAGGATGATCCACCCCTTGGACAACAGAGAGGGTAAATGATTTGCCCACGGTCACAGAGGAACCTGATGGGTCTATAAAAATTCTTGTCTTCTGATGCCCAGAGAAAGCCTTGTTCACATTCCAGGTGGCTTCCATCAGCCTGGACTTATCTCTGGTTGTATACACACACTTCTGAAGTTGCTATGGAAATCCCTCCTCAGCAAGACATATTTTAAAAGACATTTCTCATATCTGGGGTTGACTTTTATGTGACCATAAAGGTTTTTCATATTTCCTCCTCCCAAGGAGGGAGAGAGAATTAGTGCTCACCCAGGACAGCCTGCCACGGCAGGGGAGGGGCCGGCCTGGTTGCCAGGAGGGCAGCGACAACAGCAGGCTTGTTTTCCTTGGACCCCAGTGAGGCATTACATCATGGGTTCTGAGGCTGACAGTTGTGGCACTCGGCATTCTCTGGGATTCTCCTGGCCGTGTGCCCACCTCCCACAGGCCTCAGAGAGCCCATCTGAGGAAGCTCCTCATTAAACACTGTCACATGCCAGGCAGCCTTGCTGGTGGAGAGACCATCCGACGCCCCGGGACGAGCAGCAGCAGGTTGGGAAGTGGGCTTTCCTGGCACGCCTGAGCAGAGGCCTGCCAGCTTGCACTGGGGTGTTTATCTCCTCGGGAAGAGCTGCAGGGCCTCCCATCACAGTGATGGAGTGGGCTGTCTTGTGATCCCCAGCCAGGCTTTGTAAATGACCTTCCCGCCTCTTGAATGGACCGACTCCCTGTGGATGGTTGGCTCCTGGGGCAGCAGGCTCTGCTCATAGGCTGGCTTAGGTCTTTGGAAGTGATGGCGCACATTTCCACCTTTTACCACATCTTGATCTTGAGAAATCTGGTTCTGGAGACCTGGCCCTGGAATGGGAGGAAAATAACCATCGGGCCATTCTCTGACTAAAGCAGAGCTACCTTCCCATTGTAAGAAAGAGACAAAGCCTGCTTCCTCCCTCTTCTGCCTACCTCATGCAGCTGGGTCTACACCAAGTTCAGGGAGAACCAACAGTTCCCACCGCCCCCCACCTCTTTTCCATAACCTTCCACCAACTCTGGCAGGGGCTCTGAGTTCTAAGAAAGAGCTGAGAGCAGTGGGCCCAGGGTCGGGTTTCCAAGGCCACGACTCCTCACAGGCGCCCTCCATTTGAGGCACAACTTCCAGCATGGACCAGCATAGCAGCATCTAGGGTGGCAGGAGGAAGGGGCCAGCACTTGCACTCACAGTTATTTTAATCTAAAAAAACCTTAAGCTTTACTAACATTTTTTAAAATTTTACAAAAGTTTATTTTTACATAATTTTGTACATTTTTTTCCCATCTCAATGTAATCCCCGTGGGTTTCCCATCACCAAGTCACCCGTGTGCCATCACCATAATCCCGTGCACTTCCCTCCC